GAAATAGTGCCATTTAACTAGGCAATTAAAAAATTCGGTATTTATTTTACTGACAGAGCAGCCCCTAGGCAAACTATTATCTTTTAAAACATTACTCTTATAAGTTTGTGCCTCAACGGATTGCTTCATAGGCAAATTTATAAGAAATTTCTAGCATCAAAATGCTGCCTTATAACTTAGGCAATTAAAAAAAAAAAATATGTAATTGGGGTCGTTTCGTGGAGGCTATCTAATTAGTCCTTCAAGACACACAGATGCATAGTTGCATACTATGAACAAAGACTTACCAACAGACCAGCCTGTGCAAGAGCTGTAGCAATGGAGTCCTTCCATGCATGCTGGATATCACAAAGGATCATGTTCTGGTTCGGAGTGATGCGCACATCCAAGTTATACTTCTCAATAACTTCCCGAAGCATCTTCTTAGTTTCTCCTTTTACCCGACCATTATCGACATGAAGCCCACAAAACAATCTACCATCCCCCTGCCAAGGTACAACATGGAATTATCATTAACAAATTTAAGCTCTAAAATATACTCCGTAATTTTAATATCTCATGATAACATTTGTGGACTAGGGAGTAACTTCTAGACCACCAACATGGGAATGAAAATATTAAAATATATTTTTAAAATGAAAATTTTGGTAATTAACAGAGAATGTGCAAAACTGCAAAAGGGATGAGAAGATCAAGAATCCTAAAACAACAAAATTTTACACATTGGCATACTAAAGTAGCAAACCTGTTCATGCCACCCCAAGTAACTCTTGAATTCCCACTCAGGCAAGTCACGGGAGGGCTCGAAGGTCTTTCCATAATACTGTTCAACAACATTTCTAAACTTCTCAATCCCCCACGAACTGAGTAAATATTTCATCCTGCTGTACCTACGGTCATCTCTTCTACCATATTCTCTCTGGGTAACAACAATAGCTTTCACAGCATACAATATGTCCTCTTTTGGAACATAGCCCAATGGCTCTGCAACGCGAGGAAATGTGGTCTCCATCCTATGAGTTCGACCCATACCACCACCAACCTGCAAAGAAGTCATACATGGCTTGCATTAATATCCCTCAAACACATGCAAAAAGAAAGAAGGGTCAGTATGATAGATGAAATTCTTACATATATGTTAAAACCCTGAGGCTCTCCATTCTCATCTGACACAACCGCAATGCCAATGTCATTTGTGAAAAGGTCAACTGAGTTGTCTGTTGGCACAGTAACAGCAACTTTAAACTTCCTTGGCAAGAACTGAGTTCCATAAATGGGCTCAGCTGAGTCAGGGAAGTTTGTTCCATGAGAATTATCTTCTCGAGCTTTGACTACTTCAGGAGATTCTGCTGACATAAATCTCTCCCCATCCACCCAAACATCATAATAAAACCCAGATTGAGGAGTCAGAAGTGCTGCAATGTCATCAGCAGTTTGTTGTGCAAATAAATAGCTTTTATTCACATATGGTGCTGCTGGAGCCAGTACGTTTCTGTTGAGATCACCACATGCACCAAGAGTAGAGCCCATGTTTCTGATAATAGTGCCCATCACAGTCTTAAGGTCTTTCTTCAGGACACCATGGAGTTGAAATGTTTGTCTCGTTGTCAATCGAAGGGTTCCAATTCCAAATTGGTCAGCAAGATCATCCATGACCAAGTAGAGTCTGTTTGGAACCTTTCCACCAGGGTTTTTTGTTCGGAGCATAAATGAATATGACCTTTTCCCACGCTCATCTCTATTATATTGTTGATAACTCCCATGAAACTTGATCAATTGAGTAGCAGCCTCATTGATGTTAGGTGCATCTGTAAGAATTTCCTCATTGAGAGGATACCTTATGAAGTTACTTTGCTCTTTGAATATTTCAACCTTGCTACGTTTAGGTTTGGCAGAAGTGTCCAACTCCGATGGCTGCATAATGACAAAAAATCATTAGATTGAGAAATCTCCATGTTATATTAGTGAAGTAAATCCCAAACCAGCTTCACTGTATAGTTGTTTCCTTTCACCAGCAGCAGATATGAAATAGGATATAAATGCCAATACAAGTGTTGCTTCAGGCAAACAGACACATAGAACAAAGAATCAAGTAATATTATTTTCCAAATGAGTCATATTCAATGTTTCTATTCCACAATCACAGGTTGCATTGATATCAGTAGAGATGAATGGTTCACAATTTTATTTTATTTTATTTTTGTTTGATGTTTCTCACCAACATGCAGCTCTAAGAATTACAAAAATTTAGTGCCATCACTCTTACAGCCTTTCAACATATGTAAATTGCAATTATTGGATTTTCCCACCTTGTTTTCACACCACCATTTTTTTGTGCTGAAATCAGTCATTCCCAGTCACCCCACATATCCTAAAAATTTGTTTCAGGCACAAATGCCTATACACGTAACAAACCACATAGTCACCCCTGCATGGCACATGAGCAGTGCACTATGCTATCCCAGCTATCAGTCTTGTAGTAGAGTAGTATAAAGTGTATCAGGTGGGACAAATCCCACCTGATGAGACACCATATGATTGGCTAATGGCCATGGTTTCCATGCCCTTCAATCCAAAGCCATGGTATCCACCTATGGCCTTTTTATTCAACTTCACCCAAAATACTAAATTTAGAAGTGTACTTTTTAGGAAAGTTATCTTCAAATGTGACCCATAAATAACTACTAAGCATCATTCATCAATAGTTGAGGAAAATGCAATTTGCGTCAAATAAAAAAGCAGGATTCCTTTTTTTTTTTTAAGCATATATACTTATGAAAAATGCAACTTTTTGTCAAATCCCCCTTTAACTATTCGATTCTCTTTAAACCAAAGCCACTACTTTATGTTTCAATTTCTGAAAGCCATAGAAATTCCAATGCCAGAACAGTGGTAGCACGAAGTGAGAAAAGCCTTTACACAATGCAGCTATGTTTGTACCCTAACAACTTAGGGCTATAGAACTTCATTTTTTTTTTGTTCTTTTTGCCCCAAAATTAAATGAGAATCTAACACTCAAACATTGCATAGTGTACTACACTGGTGGAACCTCGATCTGAAAACTTCACTATTGCTCCATCCACTCATTTCATGTACAACATGGAACATTTTCACCAAAAGCATCCACTCTACAGTGCAATTAACAGTAACGGATGAAATGACGGCGGGGAGGAAGAAAAATTTACCGTCGTTACGGCTCTAATGACCGAAACGTTAGGACTCGAAGCCGAGGCAGCGCGAAACACGTGAAGACGGTTGCTGAGGCGGAGCGAATCGGAGCCGCTCCTCAGCCCGGTGCAACTGGGAATTTGAATCTTCGGATCCTTGGAGATGGCGGTCCTAGCCGCTGCTGCTCCAAACGACGTCGTCATCCCCTCCGACAGAAACAGAAAACGACGGAGAGAATTTCCCTACCGGAAAAGGAGCTTTGATCAAAGGCGATTGAGGAGATTTTCCGGCTGAGAAACAATGAAGAACAGAGAAGAGTTGGACTGCGAGAGGGATATTTCGCAGTTTATATACTGAAAAGTGCGAAACGCAATTATGCAAGTGCGAACGTCACGTGCCTGGCACGAGATTATATTTTGTATCTCCAGGGTAAATTGGCTCCGTATTCGCACACAATAATATGCACGCGCTGCTTTCCGTTTTGTTTCCTTTGTTGGTTTTTGTTTTTTTTTTTTTTTTTTCTAAAAGGGTTTTTTTTTTTTAAATGTTGAATCCAAACATTTGGAATTGAAGCATGTGTTCTATCTCAACTAAAAATTTAAGATGATAATTGTATTGCACATTAATAGTTATATGCTCAAAACGCCCCCTCAAGTGTGCAGTGGGTTCCAAGCAACACGCGGACCATAGTCGCAATTGAAGCATGTGTTTTATCTCAACTAAAAGCCTAAGCTGGTAGTTGGATTACACATTAATGGTTATATGTTCAACAGGGAGGACGAGTTTCCTCATTTTGAGCTCCCACGCCCTGGCCCAACAGATTTGGGAGGATGAGCTCCCTCACATCATTCGGGTCATTGTTCTCAAATTTTAATATTGTGATCAATTAAGCTGCCCACGTCAGCTAACTTTTGTTTTTTTTTTTTGTTCAAATCTAATTTGATATTTTCTTTTAAAAAAAAAACTTTCCTTTTAATAATAACTAGACTAGATAACAAAAAGGTAAACATGATAATAATTGAGATATCAAATTTATATTTATGATATAAAACTTTGTGTACTAAATAAGCTATTGCTCCTTTTCATTCAATAAGCAAAAAAATAGTAATAAAAATTGTTGGGGCGTGAGAAAGAAGGCGCGTGGGTGATAATGGTGGCAAAACCGAAATTGTAATTTAGTTGTTGTTGGGGTGACAGGTACATTGAATGTGGACAATATTGAGCGTCAAAAGCGAAAACGAAAGCAATGATGCGGTGCGGGCGGACGTACGTGTGCGGGTCAACATTTTCAAATGTAGGCGGCTCCGTTAAATTCACTATTTTCAATTCCGAAAGACTATTTTATTGCAACACATATTAAAGGGTAATGCACAAGAGTGTGCACCTTATACATATAACTGATCAACCCTCAAGTTGTTTTTATATTGTACTACTTTGTAAATATTCAAATAATGAATGTTACGTATAAATAAATATACTATGAGTATGAAAAATAAAATATCTTATACATAGAAATAATATACTTTATGCATAATTGGTTCATACAAATTACAGAGTATATGAATAAAATTATGAATCATGGTCCACCTAAAATAATATACTTTATGCATGATTGATCAGTTATATGTATAAGTTGCACAAGAGTGTGCAACTTATATACTAAAATTCAAAATTTTCCTCCCAACTATACATACTTTGGTTGATTGGATATATGCTAAAAGAGTAAGATTAAGACATGAAAAATGAAAATTATCATCTAAAAATATAAATTGGGGATTTATGGAACAAATGAAATTAAAAAAAAAAAAAAAAAAAAAAAAAAACATAAAACATTACATCATACTATACCGGCCGTACCCATACCCCCACGGCGCCGGCGGCAGCTGCTGAAAGCCGTAATACGGGCTCAACATATACCCATAATTATTGGCCGCCGGCGGCGGCGGAGCTAAACTCTTCAAATAACAGTCATGGAAAGGGCAATCGGGAACCGAACACTCTTTACGAGCATGCACCGCCACCTCCTCCGCCTGAGGCGGCACCGCCGCCACATAACTCTCACGCACGTGGCCGGAATACAGTACATTCTCCTCCTCCTCATCATCATCATCGCTGCCATGCAGCCGGCATTTCGGTGGCCGCCGGCGGTGACCTGATTTTTTCTCGGCGGAGTTGGGCTGTGGTGTTTTCACGGCGGCGGCGTGGTAATCTGGAGTAGTATTAATGTCTCTGAGCTCAAGCTTGCAGTAGTACATTATTTCAGCCTCCCTGCCCTTAAGGTTAAGGGCACCTAGAAGCTTTATAGGGTCTGCATCTCCTCTTAGTAGGACCCATCTCTTTTCTCCATCTAGGCCAACGGACTCCACTCCTACCACAATCAATCAATTATTTTAATTTATTATACCACTTATAATTTTATTTATTTTTATACTACTAACTCTGTTACAATGTATAGTAGTATATATTCATATCTACTTTTTCAACCTACAGAAGTACAAAGAGTCCCCCACGGGTTCAAATTCATGACCTCCCATTTGTAAGAGTCATTTCATACCACTAGATTACAAGATCATTGACTTATAACAAATTATAGAGAAAATATAATTTGAGTCGTGCCAACAACATAACGTAACATTGACAGAAAGGAGTTAAATTCCGATTGGTATGTGGCGAGTCTAAGACGTGGGAGTCCTGATCGAGCCAATGAGGCATAGTATGTTGTCATTTAGTTTGATATTCAGAATAGTCCCACTCCCCAGTCGCTACTTAAAGGTACGCTTTGAATAAAATCCGCCTTATGATGTTTCTACCTAGCAAAGAACTATACGGAAGTAAACTAAACTAGCTAGGTTTTCTAACTAGGAATATTGTGTAGATAAATATATTATGAAAATGAAATAATAAATGAAGTATATATGTACCATCAACTTTTAAGAGAAGCGTCCTCAACTTCAAACAACATTCATCGCATGAACAACCATTTACTCTCAATATACAATTCTGCAATATATTAAAAAGAGAGTCAAAACTAATAACAATGTGTTATGTGTAATTAATTATATTAACCAGTTGATCAATTATATATGATTAAAAAATGACAGTAAATAAAATGCATAATTAAGGTATAACAATAAAAAAAATATTAAAAGGGATTGTTCGGCAAAGGAGTTTCTTTGTGGGGACGATCCTAGAGATGGAATTAGCTCTCATGCCTCTTAAAGCGAATGGAGTTTCGGAAAAAGACTCGGAACGCCTCGTGGTTAAAAAAAAATTAACAATAAAGAAAGACCGAAGGAAATTAAACCCTCTTGCATAATTATAAATTACCGGTTCGGGGACTTGATTTTCCATATGAGATTGCTTCGATATATACTAACAATTCTTCATGAAGAACCGAGAACCTACATTAAAAAAAATGGTAAATTGAAAATATAAAATTTCTAAAGAACTAATGTTTTTTTATGTCACAACATAAACCACTATTTGAGGGTATACAATGCTATATGTGGCTTATGTGTATTAGCAAGTATGGTATATACACTCACCTTTAATGGTGGCTGGCCTGGCCGATCCGATCCGAGAGGAAGGTGAAAAAAGAAGGAGATAGCTATCTAGGGTTTACAGACAACATATGATTTGGTTTCCATAAAAGGATGCCATCTTGCCAACCTACATATACCATATATATGTTTGTATATATGGGTTTCTCCTTTGATTAATTAATGATATACATACTTTTTTTTTTTAAATACTCATGATTAATTACAAAATAGTACTTGTTCAGTTGTTCTATGCATTTTCAATCTATTTCAGTTTAAAGAATCAATGTCTCCCATCAGGGATCGAATTCAATCCTTTGACCACCAATTTGGAATGATATGATGTATATACTTATTAGTCAACTTATTTATGCATTTTTTTTTTTTGTTATCCTACAATCTCATGCATGCATGCAATGGGCTCGATTGAGAGGATATTAACAATAACAAAACTCGTAACCTTTTGATATGAAAATCATGTTATACGCACTCGATCACCACTTTTGAAGCTATATATGCTTGGCCTGACTTGTGGTCATATCCAACAAATGACTACAAGAAGGTAAACCAGCTTAAATTGTATATAACTGACTCGTTCAAGTCAAGAAAGCCAATAGATTACCCTAATTTAGGAGTTTAATTAACTTGTAGTATTGTGATTATCAAACCAATCACCTTTGCCAAAATATTTTGACGTGACAAATATGATGCTAACTTAAGTCTGTTAAGTGGTAATCTAATAAATGCAGTGTAAATGAGAGGGGTGCATATATAGCGGCACCCTTATGTAATTGCTCAGATATCTTAATATCCATATTGTTTATTGAACTTTAATCCAGTTCATAACCAATTGTACAAGCTTAATTGGTCCAACATACAATGGCATAAGCTCTCCATCAAATGTATCTATATACTTCTTTGCTGCTGACTCATTCCTGAATCCCAGGAATCCGTACCCTCATGTCTCAAAATCACTTGGAATATTCCGGCACCCTTCCACAGAATCCAGCTAATGACATTAATAAACCAGAAATTATAAAATAAAGAAGATTTCAAAAATAAATAAATAAATAAATAAATAACAATTGCTTAAAAAAATTAAATAAAGAACAATTAGGCCCTATTTGTTAAAATAGTTAGTATATCAATTGATTTTTACTTATTTGATCACTATTAACTTTTTTATTTAATTAAACAACTAATATGAATGTTTTTTTTTAACAACTTATTGTTTTAAAATACAAAAATTCAAAAACTCAGATAAAGTCATTTTTGCAGGTAATCAACCAGCTAATTTATCAAACACTTGTCTAGAATTAGACATAGACTACTCAAACTCACTAATCCAATCACCTAATACTATTTACCAAACACCCCTATTATAAGTCTAGATCAAAAGCACAAATTTTCAAAGTTCTATAAAATACAAAATTTCAAAGAATAATGAAACAATGGGAGAGTGGAGTATATATGTACCGGTTGAACTGGCTGCCTGGAAAGGGGCAAGCCTAAAGACGTCAACTCTATAACGGCCGCTAATTTTTTCCCACACTTTCGCCTGATAGCAGCTGAAACCACCCACGCCGCTGGCGGCGGCGCCGCCGTGAGAATCCTCCGCCGCCGCCATTGTTATGTAATAAATCTTCCCGGCACTTGGTTGCACGTTGAGATTCAGAATCTCCCGGAACACGAGCCCCGCATTATTCTCGCTCTCGTTGTTGTGATTCTCAATCGCGAACCGGGCCGCCGCCTCCGCTCTCTGGTAGGCGGCGCCGTCGCAACGGCTGACTCGCCGTATACCGCACGGTATCTTCAACCCGACATCATTCGACACATAGAAACCCTGGAAATCATCAAACAAATACAATAATACACATGTTTCACTCAATATGATAATTATATCAAACTGCATAAAATTATATGATTAGTTGACCTGGCTGTCGATGATGTCGTTCTGGTAAGTGCTATACTCAAAATCGTCAAAATAATACTCAGCCATCGTCGCAAAAAGTGAAGAAGAGCTAGCCGAGATGGAGTAGAGAGAAGTTAACGGGAACTCTATGCATAATAGAAGAGGGGGAGATTATATTTACGTATTTATTTTGGACTGTAATTAGTTTAGAATTTTTATTTAATCTATTTTTATTTTAAAATCCGATTAATTAATTAATTATCTTGTCAAGCAAGAGAAAACATAACTATGCAGGTTTCTGCCCGTCATGAAAGTATCGATGTATATAAACTTTACCAACAATCCAAGTTTTTTTTTTTTTTTTTAAATATTTATTTACTTTATTTTTTTAATTAAAGATTTATTTATTAAATTAAGAAATGGAATTTTGGGCCTACTAAAAACTTGTATTATATTTAGGGAGTGTTTGGTAATAGCTGTTAGTTAATATTTGAGTTTGACTACTTTTTTTTTTTTTTTTTTTTTTTTTGAATGCTACTGGCCCTATTACATTGTAGTATCTGTTCATATACTTTCTCAACCTACTGAAACACAAAGAGCCAATAACACCTCCACTGAGTTTGACTACTTGATTGCATAAAATGGTTTCATTATAAATATGGGTCCTGTCTAATAGTTTAATTTGAACCTTCATTATTTTTATTTCAAGATATAATATAAATATAATAAAGCAAACCGTAAAGACAAAGACAATAATAAAATGACATGCAAGAAGATAGAGAGAGATTTTTTTTTAATATTTAAATTTTACTATAATGATAGAGATTTCGGTAAGAAACATAATCTCAAAAGACATCTAAAATATTAATATAGAAGTCTAGACGATCTAGAAAATATATGTAACTAAGTCGCTAAGGTAATTGAGTTCAAATCCATTTGGACTTCACGTTATTGTATCCTATGACAAAAATAAAAATGTAATTAAATATTTTTCTCAAAATATAATGCATAAAAATTTAACAAAGAAATAATACAATTCAAAATTAATTTAAAAGTTTCATTTTTCGTTCATAGTTAAACACAAAATTATTCACCAAAATTTCAATGTTAATTCATTCTAATTTTTTTTTTAATTATAATTAAAACCAATCTATGAATAAAAAATAATTATCAAGTATAAAAAATAATAGATTATATCTGCAATACTTTTTTTTTAAAAAAAATTGGGCCCCTAGCAAATGGGGGTCCTGTGCGGCTCTACTGTCAGATAATAGCTGAATATATTCAAAATCATTTTTTTAAAAAGTTGATCCAAAAAAACTATTTAAAAAAGTTTTTTGAATTTTAGCATTTTGGATCAATAAATTGTTACAAAAAGCTAATGAATTAAATATTCGTACTAATTATTTAACAAAGTTAAACAGTTAATAGACATCAAATAAGTCAACATTAACTGATAAACTAACTATGTTACGACAAATTATATCGTGCACCGTGCGCCCTGGCCAAAACGACATCGTTTTCCATTTTTGCCGTTGACTTCTAAAAAAAATCTCTGTTTTGGATGTACAGAATTGTATAGTAGAATATACATAAACTCTTAACATTATACACATAATCTAATATAATACATAATACACATAAACTCTTAATAAAATATACATAAACACAATTAAAAAAAAAAAACTATAACAAAATTAGACGGACAGAACGACGACTGTCGCGTCAACTTCCCATACAACTTATAAAAACGACGTCATTTTGGGACAGGGCGTACAATCACCTTAATATGAGCTTGGTCGGATCTTCTATTATTAGCCCATCGAAATGTTGGGCCCATCACCTTTCATGGCCCACTAATAGATATCAAACTTCCCACGGTCTCCGCCGGAAAAGAACCGCAAATTATGCTGTGCAACCGAATGCACCTTGCAAGGTGCATACGGTTGCAAAACAGCGCCGTTTTGGTTAAAAAAAACGCGCGTTCCACTTAAAGAAGAAATCATGTTCGGTTCCAGGCAATAACATTTTTATATATCCAGAAATTCATAACTATATATCCACAAATTCATAACTATATATCCACAGTGAATGAATGGAGTAAATATCTACAATGAATGAACTAAATATCCACAATGAATGAACTAAATATCCATAAATTCATAACTATATATCCACAAATTTATAACTATATATCCAGAAATTCATAACTATATATCCACAATAATGCTATTGCCGAGAATCGAACCTGATTTTTTTTTTTTTTTTAAAGTGGAACGCGCGTTTTTAATTAAAACGACGTCGTTTTGCATCGTATGCACCATACGCATGGTACATTCTGTTGCACAGCATAACTATTGGAAAAGAACCACACAAAACTCATTCGAATCTTCTCGACGGGTCATACCCGTTTTCCATCGCGACCCGAACCCAGAGTTCGAGAGAGCTTTCCAGTTTCCATTGAATAAACAGTAAAGAAACACTTTTATTGTTTTCCTATAAGGTTTTCCGTTCACGGCGGCTAACCAATCTTCCAATGCTCCGTTCCAACGGTATCCGCCGGCTAGCTTCCCGCTACCTCTCCGCTCAGCTCCGGCCAAATTATGTATTTATGCCGATTTCTCTCTCTATATTTCCGAACATAAATGTGTGCGCGCGCATTATTGCATGGAGATAATATGGATTTCTCATCTCTCTATCTGCTTGCTCACTAAATTTTGCTGCGTAATTGCAGGTTAGTAGGAATTATAGTAAGGAAAAGTGCTACCTCCCTGACATCCTTGTTAATCCGGTTTCTGTAAATGGTATGAGAATTTTATCACATTGATTTAGGTTTTATTTTATTTTATTTTATTTTTGAATAATATGAGCTCTTATTTCTCAAGTATTGCTATGATTAGCAGATAGGACTGCGAAAGAGTGGTACAGAATACTTGGTGTAAAATGTAATGCAAGTGCATACCTTACCAGGGAAACTTCTTTTGCAGTAAGTATTTGAGTGCATTTATCATATATTATTGGTGGTGTTTGGTAAATAGCTCTTAGTTGTTAGCTGATTGGGTTAGTGAGTTTGACTAGTTGATAGCATTAGCTGATTGTAGAAAAGTGTTTGGTAAATTAGCTTTTAGCTGATTACATGCAATATGACTTTCTCAAAAAAGATTATTTTAAAAAGCTACTCTGAGCAACTTTTTGAATTTTAGCATTTTGGAGCAATAAGTTACAAAAAGCTAATTAATCAATCACTCATATTGATTGTTTAACCAAGTCAAACAACTAATAGTGGTCAAATAAGCCAAAGTTGGCTGATAAGCTAATTGTGTTACCAAACAGGGCCATAATTTGCTTGTGTCTTCTGAATTTTACTAGTTTATGTTACTGGATTCATGTAACCGATGTAATCAAAGTGAAAGGCTTCTCTAACTTTGATATGTTAGTGGAGAAGAACACGTACGAGTATGACTTCTTAGGCAACTCAGTGTCTTTAGCTTTCTTTATTTAAAAGTTAAGTTAAAAGCCTGTAGCATTCATTTAATCAACTGTGTGTAGAAGTTAGAACTTAATTAAAGTTTGTAACTTCCGTTTAGCAACTCACTTCTATTGAATTGTGTTGCACTGTGCTATCTCAAGGCAGTTCTAGGAACAGGACATTTACTAATCTCTGTAGTATACATGATTGGGTATACTAATGCAGATTGATAGAGTATTCAAATTACAAGGAGGATTGCTATATCATTATACACTTTAGTTTAAGAAGGTGGTTATATATAAAGATTCTTAGAGTGACAGTAAGCAAGCAAAGAACAAGAAATATGAGTTAGTACGGTAGGCTATACGTTATTTTTTGTTCCTAGATTTTCTTTTGATCTCAAAAGAATATGCATTGCGTCTTTATTTCCTCCCCTTTTCACACCAGAATAGAAGAAAATGGTAAAACCGAAGACCCTTTCGTCAGTTTTTTCCTTCCTTTTTACTCCTCTCTCTCTCTTACCCCAAAGCAGAAGAAAATGGGGAAGCAGAAAATCTTGTTGTATGAAATTTTCATGTCGTATGGAAGTTAGAGACACTTAAGAACCTATATGTTCTATTTCATTTGCAACTAAAGTGTTCGTTCCATTACCCAAATTGTGCTATATATATTTTTAATCTCCCTTTGGTTTTTTATTTTGGGAAGGGGAATTGAAATGTTTCTTTTATACTTAAAATTAATGATCTTTTGGGAATGCCAATTTTTTTTTTTATTCCTCTTGTGGGTAATCCTTCCTTTTTTTCCCCTTCTGTGTTCCAGAGGCATCAACAATTTTGCTCTGAAGCAGGGAGCAACAACTCAGAAGAAGAGCAAAAGTTCATCTATCTTCTTTGTTTTTATGATTTGTCTGTTTGCAATATGTTGAATTTCCTCAACATTTATACGTGTCAAATAAGCCTCTGGTTTTCATTTTTCCCTGATTTGTCTTTGTTTGCAATTTGTAGAATTTCGGTAACATTTGTAGACAAGGATGGAGAAGAGCATCATATAAAAGTTCCTCTTGGAATGTCTATGTTAGAAGCTGCTCATCAAAATGACATCGACCTTGAAGGTACGCTCTTTGATAGTATCTATTCTATACTTTATCAATCTTTTTCAGCCCAAAAAATCAATGCCGCCACCACCAGGGAATCATGTGACCACCCATTTAAAATGGTAACAGATGTGCCATCACACTACATAGTAGTTGGCAGTAGTTTAGTCTGTTATTCTCTTAGAATGTATCATTCAGACTTATAAATCTGACTTTCAGTTGCGACAAGGTTAATTCACATTGGCTTTTAAAGATATGTGAGAATGAATTAAAATGCATTCGTAACAATAAATAAAGTACATGACAGATGCACTGGGGACTTGGGTTCTGGTAAGTAGTGTATTTGCAGTTTACTCCACACAAGGTCACAGTTCCTTCAACGCCATGATATATGTTTCTTTATGTTACACTTTATCGACATTTTGATGCAACAAAATAATGCCCGCCCTTATGCAGGAGCTTGTGAAGGGTCACTCGCCTGCTCTACTTGTCATGTAATCGTGATGGTATGCATATATACGTCATTGTCTCACATTCCCCGAAATTTTCAAGAATTTCATACGAGTAACCGAATCTTCAGCATGCTTTTTTGTTGTAACTTGCATTGACAGGACGTGGACTACTACAATAAACTAGAAGACCCAAGCGACGAAGAGAATGACATGTTGGATCTTGCTTTCGGCCTCACAGAAACGTAGGTTCTCCGTTCTCGCTGTCTTTTAATAATGTTTAAATCATTTATTCAAGTCTGATGCACGTATTTTCTGTGTTCAGTTCACGCCTGGGTTGTCAAATAGTCGCAAAACCTGAACTCGATGGAATTCGGTTAGCCCTTCCTGCAGCCACCAGGAATTTTGCCGTTGATGGATATAAGCCAAAACCACATTAAACTCATCTGTCAAAGGGCCTTTTTGCTGTAAGTATCTGTAACTTGAAATTCTTTGACCTGTATAATAACAACATATTAGCATGAAATTATTTTATTATTTTTTTTTTTAAAAAGGAGAAAGAAAGAAGTTTTCATACATGGGCGGTTATAGCCGCAATTGAAAATTCACTGAACCTTCACTGTTCATTGATCTACAATTTGTTAAATGAGTTTTCTTCTAAGACATTCAACTGCAGAAGCTTCCAAGTGTATTCCTAATCATCATACAAAAGCTAACAGATCCGTTTATGTTCACTTAATCATTTCGTTCGTATTTTCTAACAAGTTTCCATTCATTAGTTTTCAATTTTTCCCGCAGGTTGCGTTTCTTAAATCTATAACTTGCGTTTATGCTACTGTCTTAAATAGTTAAATATTTGATAATGTCATATGGCCATATGGGGTCCTCCGAGTATATTGATTTTGTCACGTTTAATCCTAAACTTTTAAATTGGTCACTGTGATCCTTTGATTTTTAAATTGTTACAATCTGTGGTCTAAGTTAACATCAATGGCCCTTCAACTATCAAATTTTAACTAGCCGCGGTCCTTCTAGGAGGACCCCAGCTGGTCACATTTTGAAAGTTGAGGGACCATGAGTGGTTAACTAGGACCACGGATGGTAACGATTTAAAATCGAAGGATCACAGGTGATCAATTTAGAAGTTTAGGGCTAAACATGACAAAATTACTATATACGCGGAGAACTCTAGATAATAGTAACTCCAATATAAATTTTACTTGAGGATCGAAAGTGGTGTTATAATACGTGTAAAAAAATCTCATAAAAATGCATTAATAATTTATTTGTGGTTGACAAGTTAATCTTGTCTTTATGTCCCTCTAATCTTTCTTTCCGCCATAATTAATTCATTTGAAGAAAATGCCAAGCTTGGTATTATTCTTAAGCAATCGGTATAGAGATGTAACGTTAAAACCTCCGTGTTTACTTCGTGTATAGCTGATGTAAGTCTCGATGTCTCGGGATACAATTAAACTGGTTAATTTCGTATAACTTTACTCACATTTGGATACAAGGCTCAATTTGATACGGTCAAGTCAAATTTTTGGACGTATTTGATAAATAGTTGTTAGCTGATTGTGTTAGTGAGTTTGACTAGTTGATAACATTAGCTTATGGTAGAAAAGTGTTTGGTAAATTAACTGATAATTGATAGTTGATCAAAAAGGTTGCTTTGAATATCTTTTTAAATTTTAGCATTTTGGAGCAATAAATTGTCATAAAAAGTTAATTAATCAATCACTCATATTGATTGTTTAACCAAGTCAAACATTTAATAATTGTCAAATAAGTTAAAATTGACTTATATGCTAACTATGTTATCAAACAACTCACTACAAAAATTAGTTCATGAGTGGAGATTTAATTTGGCCTAATTTAAGTACTACTTTATAATTTCTTGTGGAGTCGAGGTAGGGTATCACAATTCTAGTGTACTAGCAACCAAAATAAGTTTGATACACAACTTTACTAAGAATCATAAAATACAACGTTTGATTCTAGTGTACACGTATTTGGAGAACCTAATATTAATATTTTACTTTTTAGCTCATATATAAGTTCCATATATGTAACCAAAGAAATAAAACAATGAAAAAAGGACAACAAAGTAAGGATCCGTTGGCATTCTTAGACTATTTGTTTTTCTTTTCCAGCTAGTTTACATTGACATTATCCTTTTTTTAGTAAAGAGAAACAAATTCATTTTTCGTGTTATAAACGCTATCACTAACTCACTAAGTTTTCGGCAAAATAATTTTTTAAAGAGTAAATTACACTTTTGGTCCTATGACAATAAGGGACGTGTTAATTTCAGTCCGTGACTTTTAAAATTAACAATTTAGTCATTTGACTATGTTTTTTTTAGCAGATTTGGTCCTTCCGGCCAAATCACCGGTGAAAATTGGCCGGAAAAACTTAAACCTTTTTAAATGAAATATTAGGGGGGAGGGGGGCAAGATGGGACAATTTGAGCCTAGATCCGCCCTTAAGGATATTATTACCAATATTATCCAAAGACTAAAAAAGTGGAAATCTCCCCTGAATAACTTAAAGAGTAAATACCCAAAATGGTCCCTCGACTATAGCTAAATTCACAAATTGATCATCGACTTTCAATTTCAACCAATTAAGTCCTTAACTTTGTAATTTTGACACGACTTGGTCCTCCACCTATTTGACCGTTTATTGACCGTGATCGACGATTTCCAGAAGAACCTTCAGCTCTTGTCGAAGCACATGGAGGCCTCCAGGATGATGTTGCACTGGTTCGGAAACACGTCGTCTTCTTCGCTCTAGTACGAACTTAACTACATTGAATTCAAAGGGAGGATGAAGAAAGGCGACCGGATTTGGTAGATTGCTTTCGGCAGTGGATTCAAATGTAACAGTGTGGTCTGAAAATGCAACCAGAACCTTAAAAAACCGACGATGGACCATGAAATTACATATATATCATCAAAAATCACAGTCAACAAACGGTCAAATAGACGGAGGACCATATTGTGTTAAAATTACAAAGTTAAGGACTTAATTGGTTGAAATTGAAAGTCGAGGACTAATTTGTGAATTTAACTATAGTCGAGGGACCATTTTGGGTATTTACTCTAACTTAAATAATGAATTGGAAGGACCAGTTGAGTTGCTATGAAGTTGCATATGATTGGGTCTTATAGATTCTTCATTATTATTGTTGTTGTACAAACATGAAACTGATCTCCAAGTCAACCACTACATCAGCTTCCCCACCACGTACACTTCAATTCAATAATACCTCTTTCTCCTATTCTTTTATTCTTTTATAATAAAAAAAAGATGAGAGAGACTTCCTAGGTACACTTCAATGGCCCTATAAAAGGCCCAAAAACATGACAACATTTTACCATCCTCAGATCAACCTTATTAGCTTCCTCAGCAGCTCGATCATTCCATTCCATCATCATCTCCCGATCTAATCAATGATGTTGAGTTCCACAGTTGAGTTGATCGCCATGGCTGCTTCAAACTCCCTTCTCGTCTTCTGTTTCTTCAACTTCCTCATGGCCATCCTCATCGCCATGCCTCCTGCTAAAACCACTTCTTCTGCATGCACTCATGGCGGTGATGTCGACAGTGATAATAATGATGAAGAAAACAATACCGCTTATTATTATCCTTACAATGCTATTTCTCAACAACAAGAAAAAGAAGAAGAAGAAGAAGAAGAGTGGACAATTAGGAATAAGAAAAGGAAGATTAGTGAGCAGACGTGGACGGAGGAGAAGGAAGGTGGTAATGAAGCTATGGCGGCTGAGATGAAGAAGAAGGCTTTAGTAGTGGAAGTGATTAATCCTCAAGTAGAAGAGGGTGCAGATAGGGTTGTTTGCATTTCTGATGATCATAAAGAAGAAGAAGAAGAAGATGGTGATGATGAGTTGAAGAGGAGAGTGGAGGAATTCATTGCAAAGGTGAACAAGGGTTGGAAGGAAGAGAAGCTGAGAGATCAGATCGATCAGAGACCAATATTATATATATAATGCATGCGTGAAATCAAATAAATAAATTATGTTATTTGTTTTGTGTATTTCAAGATCGATCTATATAAATTTATTATATTTTTTAACAAGTCATTTATTTTACATTTAGAGCAAACATATAGCCAATAACCACATTGGTTGCTTCTTAACACTGGAGCTACACATCATGCCACTCCACACTCCTCTTCACTACAACAAGTGGAAACTTATACCGGCAACAACACTCTTCAAGTCGGTAATGGTACAGGTTTGAACATTTTCAGTAGATGAAAACACTTCTATATCATCTATCGCGCGTTACCTACAATTACAAAATATTTTACATGTTCAAAAACTCACCAATTCTCTCTTGTTTGTCAAACGTTTTGTGCCACTAACAATAATGTTTTCTTTGAGTTCCATCCGTCTTTTTTTTTTTTTTTTTTTTTTTTGTTATGAAGGACTTCACCACCAATCATGTTCTACTTAGAGGAGAAAGCTCTGAGGACTATACAAATTTCCGCTACAAAAATCAATGACAGTCGCCACATCCAAAGTGTCATCAAAAATTTGTCACAACCGTCTTGGTCACCCTCACTCTAGAGCCCTACATCAAATTCTACATCATTGTTCAATGTCAAAGTCATCAAACGATAGTAGTAGTACAGTTCTATTTGTTCTGCCTGTCAACTGGGGAAACCCTCACGATTTCCTCTAGAAAGAGTCACCATATCTAGTTCGTCTGTTTAGATTTAATTTACACAGATATTTGGAGACCATCCCCGGTTTTATCGAATGAAGATCGTTGTTACTTCATTATATTTGTTGATGATTATTCCAAATATACTTGGTTCTTTCCCATGAAACTAAAGACAAACGTCTATGCTATTTATATAGTTGATTGTAGAGGGCATACGGTTAAAAAAAAAAAATTGCTGGAATAATCACAACAAGATTCATTGATCTAAGGAACAAGCTCAGTGTTCTCTCTAGAGAACCTCAAGCTTGAGGCGTATTAAGACTCTATCTCCTAGTCACACTAGCATTCTTCTCTTTGTATATTCATTGTATTATTCCTCAACTAGGATTCTTTATATTCCTATGAATAGTCCCTTCATGCATATTCTATGACTTAAGTGTTCAATAAAAATTCATTATTCCAAAATTATTATTCTTCTTAGATTTAATGTTCTCATTATCTCATTGTGGGTATGCTTTTGTACGTTTTAATCTTTTCTATAAAAAAAAAAATCTCTAGGGTTTCCTTTTTCAAAATAAAAAATAAAAAAGTTCATCGTTCTATTATCAAATTAGAGAAACATATAAATAAAATATAACATTAATATACCCTTAACGGTAATATAGGATTGAAGATTTTGCGAAGAAGTCCAACACTTCATTCCATTCCTTATAAATATGCACCAACTCGTTGTTTCATCTCATGTTTACACATAGATATTAGGTTAACCATCGACCCCGGCCTTCTACACATAGATATTAGGTTAACCATAGACCCATAAAGCATTCTGGCCATCTCCATAAACTCGCATAAAACATTTAACCATAACGTAATGGAAATCTCTCTTCTGATTCTGTATTCCAGAAACAAGAAGTGATACATGTTAGAAATACAACTAACAACGTCAAGGTTATTAGTCATGTTTGGTTAATGGCGGATTCGCCAACTTTAGCATTTTGACCATCGTAAACGCCAAAGCTACTGTTTGATTCCATTGTAAGTCTCTTGCTTATGCTCTTTTCCCTATTCTCTCTTTGTTTCACTTCTTCCATCACAAGCATGGAGATGGGAACCTTGGAGTTCAATACTTTCCCTTTTCTCCACTAGTACATCTAACTCACAACATTCAACCCTAATATGGGTACACATATGGCAAGGGTGAAGAAGTAAATATAAAAAAATGAGGCATTTAATTTAGTAAATTAACGTAAAAACATGTAAATTAAGGAATGTGCATTATATAACTTGCTTGTATTGTGAGAGTTTGCATGACCCCCTTTCTCTTGTTCATCTACCATCATTTATGAGCTTTAAGCATCCATCCCCTATTAACTTCAAGCTGAGGCTATTGAATTGCTCTCTCGAATACTGCCGGGACGCTTTTCTCCAATCTGTACCCGCCTTCATCATCGTCACGAATTCCTCGTAGCTTATGCGCCCGTCCTGCAAAAGATGTCACACGCAAAACTCCTCAACTGAACTATATGTTCTATCTCAACTAAAAGTCTAAGCTGATAGCTGAACGTACTGCAAACACTGTGAACTAGGGTTCTTATAGCTACATAGCCTCGAGATAAGTTGGTTCAAACATCAAGTTCAAATGTGATGATCATTGTGAGGATGAATGAATGAATAGACTACCAAACAACACGTGATTGGTGTACTATGAATTGAACTCTATGTTTTATCTCAACTAAAAGTCTAAGCTGATAATTGGACATACTGCAAACACGGTGAACTAGGGTTCATATAGCTACATAGCCTCGAGATAAGTTGGTTCAAACATCAAGTTCAAATGTGATGATCATTGTGAGGATGAATGAATGAATAGACTACCAAACAACACGTGATTCGTATACTATGAATTGAACTATATGCTCTGTCTCAACTAAAAGTTTAATATGACAGTTAGACGTGTTGCCAACGCTATGAACTAGGGTTCATATAGCTACATTGCTGCATTGTTTAAACAGATAGACAAGTGAATGAATATATATATATATATATATATATATATATATATATATATATATATATATATATATATATATATATATGAGAGCTAGCTCGATCTAGTGCAAGAGATGAAAGCTAACCTTATCTGTATCTACATCGTGCATGACGGCTATAATTACTTCTTCGTTGTTGCCATCGTCTTCATCGCTCAAGGCAACCCGGAGCTCTTCAATCTCTATGTAACCGCTCCTATTACGATCAAAGAATGAAAAAGCTTTGTGCAGATGCTCGTCGTTAGCCATCCTTCTGAGATGAACAGAAACAGCAACGAACTCCCCATAGTTCAAACTCCCGTCTCCATCAATATCAGCCTGCAGAAAACATGCATAGAAACATCAACAAGAACAATTCATACACACATTAAAAAGAATTATGGGTCATCAAAGGTTGTTTTGTATTTTACTGTCAAAGGTTGTTTGTAAAAACACATTTCTAAAGAGAAACTGGCTTCGATGTGGGACTCTATTCAACGTTTTTTGGGGAAATTATTGCACTTACAGCTTCCAAGAGGATCTGAAGATCTGGATCGGGGACCTGATGACCGAGCTTTTGTAGGCCAATTCTAAGTTCTCCAATGCATATTTTTCCATTCTTGTCAGCGTCCATCATGTCAAACGCTTCCTTTATACGAGCAGCTTCCTCCACCGACAAAAATTCAGCAATGACCTGTTCGTGCAACATTACCAAAGTCTTAACCGTCGAGAATTTCATTCATTTTGAGCTTCTGTTAGATAAAAATTACCATAAGAGCTCTTTTCTTGAGCTTGTTCATCACCGAGAATTGCTTAAGTCTTGCTTTAATTGTCTCACCCAATGGAACATTCGGCGCTTTGCTTACATTTTGTAGCCATGGATGTTCTACAACATTAGATTTGTAAAAAAAAAAAAATTAGAATTAACCATTTTCGTTAACAATAGAAATAAGGCATAGAAGAAAGATTTACCGAGAACTTGCTGAGCAGTAAGCCTCTTACTAGGCTCGGTTTCAAGCATTTTCTTTACGAGGTCCTTAGCATTATCAGAAACTTTTGGCCAAGGATCTCTCTTGAAATCAACTGACGATCGAATAATTGCCTGAGCCACTCCTTGCTCGGTCTCTGCATTAATAATGATCGTTACGAAACAAGCTTTTTATGCTTTGATTTGGTTGAACGAGTAATAAAGATCGAAGCAGACCTGCCCAGAAAGGAGGAACACCGCAAAGAAGAATGTACAGTATAACTCCAGCACTCCAGATATCAACCTCCGGGCCATAATTGCGTTTCAGAACTTCGGGAGCCATGTAATAAGGACTTCCAACTATCTCGTTAAAGATCTCTCCTAGAGAAGAAAGATGGTTCAAAGGCATAAGGACTATAAAAGTTTCCGGGCAAAATGGTTAACATTGTTTCTTGATTTCATCATCAATGTTCACTTACCGGGCTTAAAGAAAACAGATAACCCAAAATCAATCGCCTTTAACATAGCCATCTCTTTCTTGTTGGCAAAGAGGAAATTTTCGGGTTTGAGATCACGATGCATCACCCCGTGCCTGTGGCACATCTGCAACGCAATGAAGCATAAGCCTTTATCGATGGCACCAAGAAACGTTGTACTAAAGAGTTAGAAATTCTTAACACCCACAAAAAGAAACTCAAAGATTAGAACTTTTTTAAGCCATGAGAGTTGAGTTTTTATGTCCATTTCTTGTTCCACAACGAATTTCATTCGAAACTAGAATAGTATAAACATAGATACAATAATTATATGCAAAGATGTAATTGGTTTAAGGTCACAATACCTGGACAACTTCGACAATAGTCCTGACAACCCCAGCAGCCGCCCTCTCGGTGTAGTGTCCCCTCGCCACAATCCTATCGAACAACTCCCCTCCCTCGCACAATTCCATCACAATGTGCACAGCGTTATCATCCTCGAAAGTGCCTTTCAAGGTCACGACGTTTGGGTGTTTTGGCAAGTGCCTCATGATCTCGACCTCCCTCCTCACATCCTCGATATCCACAGCAGTCCTCAGCTTCTTTTTCGATATGCATTTGCACGCGAATTTCTCGCCCGAGTCCACATCTGTGCACAAGTATGTGATCCCAAACTCTCCCCTCCCGAGCTCACGCCCCAAGTCATATTTTTCATGGATTTTACGCCCCGTGGGATCTTTCAACACGACAAGGTTGTTGTTAGAATCCCCACTCCCTTGATCTGCTGCCCCATTGTCAATGGAAAAGGGGTTGGGCTTCTTCTTGTCCTTATTCTGATTTCCCTTATTCTTGGCTCCCTTATTCTTGGCTTCCTTATTCTTAGGTTTCTTAGGTATATCTTTAGTCCTCTTCCCAGAAGAACCAATAGGGGTTGCACAGCAATTCCCCATTCAAAAGTTCAAACCTTGGAGTATTTCACCTCTGTATTCTAACTCCTAAGCATTTCATCAAAACCACCAAAAAAACAAAACAAACCAAAGGAGCAAATTATTGGTATTATAATTGTAAAATTTCACCAATAATTTAGAAAATGAGATTAACGAGAACAATAAACTATAACAATGGCAGAAAGTAAAGAAGACAGACAAGATTTACGTAGTTCGACAATGTACCTAGATATACAAAAATATATGCCAACCTTTCATAAAGGGAGTGTTGATTCTGGGTTCTCCAAGAATGTAGGAAAATTCTGCAATTCTACCCAGAAAAAATTTAAAATTAAAATAAGAAACCAATGAGCTAATCAACCCCAAAAGATAATGAATAACACCAGAATTTCGAAGCTTTTAATGCATTTAACGAACATATAACGTTAAAATTTGCTAGAAACACAAAGAACAACCTGAAAACGAAATCCCAGAAACAATGTAGCTCAAAAACTAAAGAAATGCAGGAGAAATGAAGCTACATGAAACGAAAACCAAAAAAGAAAACAAAAAAATCGCACCTTGATATATGCCCTTTTATCCTGTGAATTATTGGATTTGGATGCAGAAAACTCCGAGGAATTCCAGGCCAAAACGCAAAGTAGACGATGAAGAAGAAGGTAGAGAATGCGAAAGTGATTAAGAAGAAGAAACCGAATTCACCATTGACAGAGAAGAGAGAGAGGGGGTCATCTCTCTCTCTCTTTTTATTTTTACCTCCTTTTGCAGACTTTTCTCTCTCTAGAATTGAACCCCCTGCTGCTGCCCCCTCTCTCATCCCCTGTCTCTATCTCTCTCTAAATCCACCATTTATGAGACAGAATGACCCTTTTTCTTTCTACTTTTTCTCCCTCTCTTTTGACTTGTCGTTCCAACGACATCCTCTGTCAAACCTCTCAACGTTCGTGTGCTTTTTAGACAGTTTTTTTTTTTTTTTTTTGAAATTTAATCTACCCGTAAATATTTTAATATTTTTTTAATGCAAGGGAGTAAAAAATAAAAATAATAAAACAAATGAAAAATATTTGTTGGTCCGTTGGGGTAAAGTCTAGATGAGTGAATAGACTTATAAAGTTTTAAAAAAAATTTAACTACTCATTTAATTAAATCGAAAGATTTCGTAGAGAATGCATAACAGGAATATTATTAACTCATTTTAAGTGATATGCACGCGATTTTTGTTCTTTTAAAAAGTTATAATTTGGTCATGTTAGAGTATGAATAAATGAGAGAGTAAGAGATTTTTATAATGGTTCGGTTAAAGAGGTTTGCACTAATCCTTTTAGTAAAAGAAGAACGTTTAATGGTTCAAGCCTTGAACACCAAGCCGGTCTTGAACTTTTCAACTCAACGCCAAGTTTACTCTGACTCTTTCTACTTCTACATAATAGAATTACAAAGGTTTCAAAGAAAAGGTTTCTTTAATTCTCCAACTAGAAGACTTGACTTTGATGACGAACTAGATCTTCTCCTTTAAGTAGCCCAAGCTTCTAAGAGCATCCACACTTGTGCATATTATGGGGAGATTTCATAATGACTTCTTCTCAATGGAGATAATAACAAATGTGGGGTAGAGTTATTTGTGGAAATAATTATCTTGCAAATACAAGGATAATGGCAGAAAAAGAAGAAAAAGAAAGAAAAGAAAAAGGGGCTGCTATGCGCGTTTCGCGCACAGCAACCCGCCCACACCGGCGCGCCTGACAGTTCTTTATTTTTATTTTTTCGTTTGTTTTTTTATTTTGGTTTTTTTATTTTTTTTCCTCCCTTCCCCACATTCTCTCTCCTAATCACTCTTACATTATCCTCATATTCTTCCCAACTAATGTGGATGCTCAATGGTCTTACTTTGAACTTGTTAAGAACACTTGAATCAATTGTAGTATTCACTTCAATAGACCAACATCTTCTTAAGTCTTGAATGAAGGTATTTATACATGTTTTGAAAAGGATCCGTTGGAGAGAAACCTATTTCAAACGTCTATTGATAAGTGGATAGTGACCAGCGAATTTTTCTGAAAGTAGCTTTATGCGTCAGACTTTCCAACTGTTATACTACTCAATTTGCACTGAACATATCTTTTTATTCTGCACAAATTGTCTAGTCTTTTTACTTGAAAAGTATGCCCTTCCACCATTTGAACTTTGCAACTTTCGATCTTAAAATCTTATACTCTTCGTCTCGTCTCGTCTCGTCTCGTTGAACTCTCATGATCTTTCATTTTTCGAAGTCTTTTCTTGATTTTTTGAAACGTAACCATTCAGTTCAATACTCGAACTAACTTAACTATTTGTAACGTAACTTCTCGGGTTATTATTTAAACTATTCAAATTAAAGAATAGAGCTCCTAAGCCTAAGAGAATAAAATAAATTAAGAGCTAAAAACTCATAACTTTTAGTATCAATAAAATCTAAAGTACAAATGTTAGTAACAATATTACATAAAATTACTAACAAAGTTGGCTTGATAAAATGGTGTATTGCAATTTTTAGAATAGAACATTTTTAGTTTCAAGTCCTTTGCGTTGGACCTTAGCTGATACCTTTTGCCTATATCATGTTAATTTTGTTAAGCAAGGTAATCTCTAGAGAAGCCTAGACAATTTGTGTGATATGGAGGTATTCTTCATGGGTGTAATTGCTTCTTTACAAAGTTAGAGAGGTTACTAACTTACTATACCTCCACCAAGGTTCAAACCTATTACTTCTCACATAAGAGAGTAACTTGGTACTATTGGATCATAAAATCTTTATACATGTTTCATATCTTGATTGTATATAGCCCGCGCAAAGTTGATACGCAAATTATGCTTTGGACTCGTGTCAACAATGCATTGTAGACACAAGTCCAAAACGACGTTGTTTTCAAGGAAAACGCGGCATTGCTGTTATTTTATTTTATTTTATTTTTTTGATTTTGTCTCGCTGTTAACGGCGTTATTCGTTTGTGGCATTATGAATGTACAATTGTGGAATTATGAATGTAAGTTATGGAATTATGAACACAAAGCTCTGACATTATGAACTTACAATTATGAACATATAGTGATAAATTATGAACATAGAGCTCTAAAATTGTGAACATAGAGTTTCGAAAATTATGAATGTATAGTTATGAAATTATGAATGTACAGTTATAGAATTATGAATGTATCGTTATGGAATTATGAATGTACAGTTATGGAATTATGAACACAGAGCTCTGACTTTATGAACTTACAATATGAACATATAGTGATAAAATTATGAACATAGAGCTCTAAAATTGTGAACATAGGGCTTCGAAAATTATGAATGTACAGTTACGAAATTATGAATGTACAGTTATGGAAGTATGAATGTACAATTATGGAATTATGAACACAGAGCTCTGACATTATGAACTTACAATTATGAACATATATTCCTATATCGAAGCGGTCTAAAATATAAAAAAAAAAATAGAAAATAACAGTATCATTAACGACACCGTTACCGTGTTCACAATGCAACACAGGTCCATAGCATAAGGATTGAAGTTGATAAATCTTGGTTATATAGTAAAATTGTAAAAAACAAAGACATTAAAATCCACACCAGGCCCATTGTAGGCTTAACACATTTCAAACAGCCCAAAGGTAAAGCCCAATTTCATGAATTAACTTAAGGTGCATCGGCGGTCAGTAACGCATTCAGAGAGAGATGAAGAAACCGGCAGGAGCAGAGAAGAAGAGGGTCCGGCGATCCGCCGGTTCTGTACCGAACGGTTCGAATCCCACCGGCGATGCTCCTCCAAAGGTAACTCACAACCTCCTCATCTATGCATACACATTCATGCATCCATCACCCTGTTGTATCGATACGTATGCTTTATCATTCCCGTTATTTTATTATGAGGTCATTCAATTGTAATCTATTTCTCTCCAGATAGATCCGTGAAAATGCTGAGAATTGTTCCTTTTTGAGGAATTACTTCAATTTCAATCTTCATGGATAACAAAATTCTTTGTTTTGGAACGTTATTGAGTCTAAAATCTAAATCATGTGATTTTTTGGTCAGGTTTCTTAAAAAATGAGAAAAAAAAATCCTATAAATTGCTGTTTCACAGTAGTTCTTTCGCAATTGCTGAGGGATAATAAGTACCATCTAGGAGGTTTTCTTCATAGTTTTCACCCAACAGAAAAATCGCAATATATAATTAGTTTTTTTTTTTTTTTTTTTTTTTTTTTTTTTGAAGTTCCTTTTCTCTGACAGATATGGTGCTGAAACATTGGCTGGCCAGAACAAAATATAATTATCTGGATCTTTCAAACTTTTGATGAGTTAAAATTATTGGAAGTCATGCATGAAGCAATCATTATGTATGACTAAATGAAAATAGATGAAGAAATAAAATAGAATTATCTCATCAAAATTATTGGAGTGTTAATGGTAGACAGAAAAAGGATTGCCTAGAAAGCAAATAATCTGTCTTAAATTTTGACCTTCTGTACCAAAGAATTGAGTGTGCATAAGCACAGGTGAGTTTCATCAAGTTATCATTGTTCCTGTGTTTTTCAACCTTTAACTGTTATTTGCTGACTAAATTAAAATTGTCATTCTAGTCTTATTTATTTTTCTTGCTTAATTTCCTATACACGTATTTAAAAAAAAAAAAAAAAAAAAAAATCCCTATGTAATCTTAATTTTTATGTATTCAATCCCAATTCCAGAAACAATCTGCAAAGAAGGATGTTTTCCAGTCATTTGCCGAGAAAGTGAGAGATCACAAGGACTTGATGTCAAGATGGGCTGTCCTGCAGGAAACTCGAGTTGAGTATTTCAGAGGAAAAGACTTTGTGAGCTTTATGAGAAATCACCCAGAATTTAAAGATATACTGGAATCAGATAAAAATTTGGAAACTGATGATATTGCAAATACTTTGCTTAGAAAGAATCTACTACTGCGTTGTGACCGTGTAGTAAAAATTGTTCGGCCTGGAAAGAAAAAGTTGTCTACTTGGCCAGCGCATTTGGAGATATATCATGTATGTATTATTCTACTCAAACCATCATATTTATATGAGATCTATTTTTCTCTCCCAGTCAGCAGTGTATAACTATCTGCTTTGATTTTTATGCACTGTTATGGCTTTATATCATATTTATCCATACTATAATACTATCATATTTTTCTCTCCCAGTCAGCAGTGTATAACTATCTTCCTATCATATTTATCCATACTATAATACTAACTTTATAGAATATATTTTGAGAGTTTATCAAAACTTTGTGATCTGAAGGATACTCGTGAATGTTCTGCTTTCAGCAAAGGTCTTTAATCTGTCTCACAATATTTCTAAATAATGTGACATGTTAAGCTATTTGGAATCTGGTGGTATTTCTCACCATTGCTAGATGTATTATCCTTCTTGGCCTTGAGAAAAAGCTTATAGTTAGTTATCCTGATCTGCTATTGAATCTCATTCAAGGTATTAGCTTTTTAATGGATCAATAGATAAATAGAGATGCCTCTTTTACACCCTGATAAGCCAGTGGTCCTCATTTTTTATCCTTACATAAAAAAAGACCCTTTTTTCTGTTTATAATTAGTCATACCTTGTAGTTAAGATTACTTTTCCTGATTTCTGTAAGCAGGATCAAGTGTTCTCTGAAAATGATGCCTTTTTTGCTTGGACATTTGAAAAACGAAGTGCCCTTTGGCAAACGCTTCTCTCATTTTCCTGGCCAGTTTTGACATTAGCAATCTGCTTATTTCCTGTGTATCCCCATCGGTGCAAGCTCATTATACTCTACTCATGTGCCAGCCTCCTCCTCCTCATACTATGCCTTCTTTTATGTAAGTTATCTGATGCTTATTTTCATCTTTACTCTTGGATTTGTATGCCTCTTTACCCTTTGCTTCCTCTGCACAAGTTTAAGCAATTGTAGTAGAGACATTCAAAGATTGAAGCATAATGATATTAAGCTATATATTCACTTCATTATCTTCTAAGTTAGTCCAAGTATCTTCATCTTGGGACTTGGGTTTATTAAAGTGAAAAGTGAATGAAAAAAAAAAAAATTTAAAATATCTTCCATGTGAGTTTGTACATATAGTTTCATGACTTTCATCTTCATTAGGCTACCCATGAATTGGCCTACCCCATCAGGTCGAAATGAGTTATAACAGAATTCACTTATTTTGATGTGGAGTCAATTATTTTTATTGCAACTTGCAACAAACTGAGGAATTCTTGTATGTTGCAGTGAGAGCATTAACCTTTGGTACCATATGGATTCTTTTTGGAAAGCGTGTCTGGTTTTTCCCCAATATACTTGCTGAGGAAGCAACTCTTGAAGAGTTATTCCAGTTTTGGCCCAAGAAAGATGAGGGGGAGCCACCGAAGTGGTCAGCAAGGCTTTTCTATGCAATTGTAGCGGTGATTGCTATACTGGTTATGAGGCATCATGCTCCAGATGAGGCTGCAAGAGCCAGGTAAACTGACTCATTATGTGTTCATTGTTAGACGAGAAAATCATTTAAAATAAAGGATATAAAGAGGAGGGATGGAAATGGAGAAGGGCGTAGATTACATGTGGATAATTGCCTAATAGGGAGAAATCTCTTGATGCAGTGAATAAGCAACACTTTATCTTTCCCCTGCGCGATTTAACTATTTTTTTCAATTCATAACTATCTCTACGAAAATGATTCTTAGATCAACCTAATGTATTCTGCCATATTGCCATCTATTCCCTTCTCCATCTACACAAAAATGATTCTTAGATCAACCAGTGTAATGTATTCTGCCATATTGCCATCTATTCCCTTCTCCATTTACACTGCCAGGTCCTTAATCAGGTGAGAACCATGCCTCAGGTGAGAACCTGTGGACAAATCCAAGCCATTGATCTAAGTAGATCTAACAGTTGAAAATAAACAAAATATTGTAATATTTATGAAAATGACCCCGCTCATTTTAAAAATTTGTAATAATTATGAAAATGACCCCACTCATTTTTTACTTGATTTCTCATCCATTAGATCTTGCAGATCAATGGTTTGGAGTCGTCCACAAGTTCTCACCTGGGAAGTAGTTCTCATATGATTAGGATTCTACAGTGCCATATTGTTTTGTTACACCATATTGCCATATAGACCATTGCCATGTGTAAAAATGCTGGAGTATTTTGCTATAATTGTGTTTAATGGTGAAATACTTCTTGTAGGTATCAAAAGCGGGTTTCCAACATTATTGATGACGTGATCGAGTGGTCTCCTAGTCTGGCTCTATCAGGAATGATGGACAAACAAACCGTGGTCAATGTCACAGAGCACAATAACATGACTGAAGATGGCGAAGGCAGTACTGAAGACATAGATGGAGAGTCTATGGGAGACCTAGACGACATTGAGGACTCTATCAATGATTTAGAAGATAGTGATCCCCAACATCATGACGATAACTCGTAAATTATAAATGTATGTAGAATATAAACTGGCAGGGGAAGCGGTGTGTTCAGTTTCTCTTCTCTCTGCCAAGTTTTCTGTTCCTTATCTCAGTTCAGATCTCAAAAGTTGAGGTATGAGAATAGATAGATTGGCCCTCATAGCATGATATAATTTTGTATGCTAATCTCACTATCAGACCCTATTCTGCTCCTTTCTTCTTTTTCCCTTCATGGATCAGCATAATATATAAATTCAGATCCGTTAATTTATTTCATTGTTGATTGCTATGATTTGGGTCTGAATGTTTCTTAGCTTCTAAAACTAGTATATAGAGGTCTTCTCTGTTCCCCTATTATAACATATTATATATTTTCAGTTAACAAATTATGTATATGTATATGATGAAACAGTTAATATATTATGAGGAAAATTTGCAGTCACCAAGGACTATATACAGGGTAAATTCGTCTTATAATCTTAATTGACAAAAGACCATAATGAAGTAAACAAGTTTACGTTTACTCATAGCTGATTGATGTATATTGTAACTACCATTACTATCATGTAAATTTGTGAACCCCATGCACCGTTGAAGTGTGAAATTGGACGGTCAAGATCTGAGTAGTGGAGCAATGGTGTATCCGGTACAGTTGTGCAATGGTGCAATGATGTATATTTACTAGGTCAAAATCATTATAAACCACACGATCGAGCAAGATCAACAATGCATAATGATATTGGTTCACAATATATATATCAAAGAAAAAAGAAAAATATATAATAAGAAAGACCCTGTGAACTTACATAGCATAAAGTAAGAAATTTGAAGTTCAATTCCCATTCATCTTATTATTATGTATATAAAAAAGAAAAGTTTTATGGTAAACAAAGACCAAATCCCAGTAGTCCCACAAAACCAGAAAGGAAAATCACAACCATTTGCTACATCACACTATCTATACTTCAGATCCTCCTAACTGATAAACAATCCATTAACTATTAACCTCACAAAACACATACATGCTTCATAATCCTACACCTACTTCCATTACTTCGAACAACAAAACAGAAGAGCTAAAGATTTCATGAGCCAGGAATGAATTGCCGCCCAGCATGAACGCCCGAGATCCATACATGGCTTCCTCGTTGGATCGTATTCGATCTTCCTACATTTCACCGGAAGCTAATTGCGTGGCGACAGCTGGGGTAGAGAGGTGCTTCACTGTTACTTGCGTGTGGAGCCTCCTCCCGAGGACTCGGCAGAATGCACGTGATATAATGATTCCTGAGAGCAGCATCGGCTTCCATAGCTGCCCCCGCTGTTTATGTACTGATGAAGATGAGGCTTAGGTACTGCTTCTTGACAGTTATTTGAAGCGCCAGACGGGAAAGATTCGGGACCAGGGAGTGTAAGGGATCGGGGGGAGAGAGATCCACCGGAGCCCGTCTGCTTTGGAGCATTGGAATCAGATTTCTTCACGAATCGCCCTCCAGAACCCCGAGCTCTCCTCAGAGCATGCTGATGTCTAGATTCATGAAGGTATGGCTACAAACAGAAAAACACAAGGCATGCAATTGTTGATAGGCTTCTTGGCAATTGGCATCGAGGTTATTATAAAAAAGGAACAAGGGTCAAATAGGTCACTCAACTGCACACCAAATTGCAATTAAGCCATCGAACTCAAAAGAAGTGCAATTGGGTCCCTAAACAACGCAATTCAATCCAAAAAAATGACTTGATTACCTGAAAACGTGCTGACGTGACGGTCACCGAATTAAAAAATAATTTTAAAAACACGTCAGCATGTTTTTAGGTAAACAGGTCATTTTGGGTTGAATTGCATGAGTTTGCGTTGTTCAGGGACCCAATTGCATTTTTTTAAGTTCGATGGCCAATTGCAATTTGGTGTGCAGTTGAGTGGCCTATTTGATCCTTATTCCTATGAAAAATAACAGCAGAGATGAACAGTAGAATTGCGATTAAATTGCTTGAACAGCTAATTTGAAGGCCATGAAAGTAAATACAAAGTGCATTATTAATTGAAGTTCTAATTTGGCAAAGTTTAAAAATTTTGCACTTATTCATATCAAGTTGTAGTTTTGATCTAAAAACTAAACAATATGACGTTTAGATAGACACATAAGCATTTTATCCGGTGTGTTGAATTCATATTACGAGATGTAGCACATGCATCAAGTAAAACAAATCAAAGCTTCCGAGGAAAAAGTCGAGAAAACTAACCTTTCTAACTTTTATGAGCTTCTTCTGAAGTTCAGCTTTAGCACGTGACTCTCTTCTACGAAGAATCCCATGATACTGCTTGGCATTCACATAAACGGGCTCTTGAGTCATTTCGAGGGGCAAAGGCATCCTCATACGGTGCATATCAAGTATATCAGGAGGAACCTGATCACCGAATAATTTGTTAGCTTCAAGCTACTAAAGAAAGAATTAAAACTGTTCTTCCCGAAGTAGATGTACAAAAACTGACAATCTATCCATTAAAAAAATCCCTCAGATCTTAGCAGTTTATTATCTTCTAAAAAGAACACACAAAGCTCATCGAGAATGAACTCTTGATGCTTGAGAAACACTAAAAATTAAACTGGAACCGAAGTAATTGCCCTATGAACCAGAGATTAAAGAGTATAACCAATGATCGTTCCTATACACAATATCCTATGAAGCACAGAGGCCCGAGTAAAATCGAATAGCTTCTTATTTATGCAACCATCCTAAAAGAATTACAAGAGGTAGAAAGATCCACATACCACATAATTAAAATTAAATGAAAATACTAATATTCCAAACACAAGAATCAAAAAGGCATAGATAAAGATCCATGTCTAAATAAAGAATTGCTTCAGATCAAAATGTGACCAAAATATTCACTCGAGAACAATTTTGCATACCAATGGTTGACCATAAGCAGCTATCATTTGCCCAAAATACGGGTCAATGTATGGATTTGGAGCACAAGCCTGAAAGTCAAAACATCAAATCAGGCACATGAAGATCATTGAGGCATCTTATTCCACAGAGAATTACTTATCATTGTTCCCAAAAGGTTGAATCCCCAACCCCAAGGACCCCAAACGCCCTGGCCCGACAAAGCATTTGGGAGGATGTAAATCATGGTATCTTAGCTGAACACAGAAGCTAGACCTTTGCCTATTGCGCACAAGGAGCCCCCCTCACTTTGAGAGATTGCTCCCACATTGCTGCTGGTGAGACTCGATCCTGGGTCATTGTTCCCAAACTTCACCCCCGTGACCAACTGAGCTGCCTATGCGGGCAGAGAATTACTAATCAACAATTACCCATGGACGCCTTATAAAATTACTTACAATTGAATGTCCAACAAATTCAAGCTGTTGTGGCTGTGTTAGGTGCTCATCACTTCCATCTGGAATGACTGATGCAACTTGCTGAAGATTCTTATCTACTTGTCCTCCACAACTTCCTTCTAACCTTAAATGAAGATTCCATTAGTAATAACTACATAAACAAGATGAGAGCATAACATTTACGTAAAAGAATTTGGTCAAATTAGACCTCTCTTTTTTACTTCTTTCCTGTCTGTATGGGCTTGGGAGGCGGGAAATTTACCAATGGTGTTTCATGTCTTAAGCTATTTTTTCATGACTTAAGAAATAAAAGAACCAAAGCTAGGCCATGAGCCCCAACTGCTACAGAAACTACAGAAAATCTGATATTTACTTTCTTGAGTAGAAAAGTACAGCTAGCAAAGAATGTATAGTTCCTGATTATACTCTTCAGCTGATCCCCGATTCTTAGGAATTATGTTGATTTCCAATTATTAGGAGTTCTTCATTGGTAAGAATTTGATAGGGAGCTTAATCCTTCATAGTTTGCTATATCTTTATGTACAAATACAGACTATATATCACAAAAAAGGTCTTTTTTTTTGGGCACAGAAATGAACCATATTGTAGTTCATAATTGTTTGATAGAGGAACATCCCACTGTGAAGCAATAACAAAATCTCCATCTATACCTCAAAGAAGTTAAGTTGTCTAAATTAACTAATTGCTTTATAGCATAATAAGTTATTGTCATGGTTCATTTTATCTATGGATATAAGCATACAAGAACCTTAAAACTTTTTTTTTTAAAAAAATGTGCAGTCCTATTGGAAGTGATAGCAGCATACCGCATTTCAACTATCCTATTGGTAAAAAATAGCTTTTAGTTGGCGGGTTTTGTGTGAAGCAATGATGTAGAAGAGAAATAGAGTAAGAAAAATAGAAGAAAGAATTCAACGTCAAGGCCACGTGCCACAGAATACTTTGAAGAGATTGGCTAAAGTAAGATGTGTTATTCTGTTGTTCATTTTAGAACTACTTACATCCTACCTTGAAGCGAAGGTTTGCTAGTTTGTGATTTTTCAGTACCGTCATCACCTTCGGGATTTACTCCACCATCAGATTGTGATTGGTCGTCCAGAGATTGCTCGAGAGAAGACGAATCAGAAGCATCTCCCTGCACCATGCCCGGAGGAACAGAATTGTAGCCAGCCGTTTTCCACCAAGGTTCAGCAGAGTCAGCGGAATGAGGAATGTTATGTGGATTGGCTCCCACAAGATTTGCAGTTTTGGAATTCGGTTGCATAATCTTGATGCACTTCGAGAACGAAAACCAAATCTCCTAAATAAATTCCCAACAAGACATGTTTAAGCAGTGTCAATTAAGATTTCCAACAAAACATGTTTAAGCAAATAAGCAGTGTCATAAATTTCATACGAACATTTTATCCAGCACCTATGACTAGAACAAATATCAATTCCAATTTCCGCAAACAATTATGAGAAGCTTGTATGCTTAAGGTTCCATTTCACAATTGCCTCCTATGTTCAGAAGCAGCACAAGAAACCCAAATATAATGCATTACTCAAAGAACATTATGACACACCCAAAATCAACACAGCAAAGATTAACAATGAATTGTACCATTACCAGAAAGACACAAGTTAGTACAACATAGTTGGCTCCCAACTAACAAGCTGCTGAGTCACCGTGATTTACCCCTCCACAATCCTGTCGGGCCAAGGTGTGGGCCCGGGACGAGGGATTTCGCCTTTTGTGCAAGTACAAATAGTTGACTCCAAAAAGAGAAACTATAGGTATAATTAATATATAATACACCCTAACATTTATGTTTTACTCTAAACTCTTCCAATTACCACAGTAATCACTTCCTAAGCTGCTCAATTATTACTAATAACACAATTATAAGCTGATTTATCAGTAAAACAGAACACAGTC